GTCTTTTTTTACAGTTCCACCTCCTGAACAGCAGCAATGTTGTCAGCTGTAATGCTGCTCCAAATGCCTCCTGGAAGGACAATTACTTGAAGTGACAACTGACTCTGTCTCCAGGCTCATTTAACCCCTTTTGCCTCCCTCCAGACACCTTGGCTGCTCTTTTATGTTACACCAGATCACCCAACAGACAGATTCAGCAAGTTACTGGATTGAGGGGATCAACTTCACACTGGCTTTGAACAGATGGAAATAATCATGACCTGGGCAACATGGTTATAGGACTTCCAGCAAGACTGCCCATAAACTGCATGGCCACATGAATTGGACTTTCCTACCACATCACTTCGAGGCTGATCTATTTTCACTGTGTTACACAGTGGAGCCTGTCAGTCTTTTTCTTCATTTGGGCACCGCAGAAAAACAAAACCAAACCAGGTTAAAATAAACATCTCCTTCCAGACTCTCTCAAAGCCTCATTCTGTCTGGAATCTCTCAACTCTGTCAAATTAAACAACCATCCAGATGTGTTATTTTAAAACTTCAGACCTCGGTAGCATGAACCAAGGGGTGTACAAACAGTGAGGGAAGCTTCCTTGGAAGCTACTGAGAATGACTACGTTCCAGCGAGCCACCTGCGCTCTCCTCCCTACCCCGACCAGGAGCTCTTCCAGGACTGCTTTTACTTTCTGAGGCAATAAACTCAATGCTCCAAATGGAAACCTTAGCACACTCCATGAAAAAGGCCACCCATTCTCAGTACATGGAAACATAACTTATCCTTGGCCAAGCTTTTACTTAGACCTTGGAAGAGTATGCACAACGAAAGATTTTTTCAGTGCCTGGGTGGTTATTTTGGGGGCCCTTCTTTCTTTCTGCCCTCAAATCTACCACTGAATATGAGTCACCAATACACAATGGCATCATGTTTAGCAAACTGGAATTTGCCACCAATGAAAGTCTTCTAAAAGGTTTACCCCAGATCCATCACACAGCACGGCAGTGGGCAGGCCACAGAAGCACTGTCTTGAAGGGAGCAGCTTCACTGTCTCCACCAGCATGCCCACATACCAAATTCAACTGAAATCCAGAAATTAAATTACTGACCCCCAAAAGCCCAAGTTCAGCATGTCAGCAGCAAGAACAAAAAAAAAAAAAAAAAAAAAGATGGATTTAAAATGGTTCCTGCAGATCAAATTTGTAAGTTTTCCCTCTGTGGAATACGGCTTAATTGACAAGGGAATGCCTCTGAGCTGGAGCAATGTGACCAGCACTGATGGACCAGGCTGTCATTAATAGGTACAGGCCTGAATCACTGCTGTTTTCATCATTTCCTATGGCGTTAAGCAGGTATCATCTATCACTTTCTACTCTTTAGCAAATCAGCATGCATGATGTTGCCTTGTTTCTTACTACAGACTTTTTCTGACACAACTTCCCCTGTGCCAGTTACATATATTTGATTTGGTACATCCTGTACTTGCTCCAACTGATAAATGTATCCTCAAAAAGCATACTATCATTCTTGAAAGGTCCAGAAAAATTACAGGCCTCTTCCATCTGAACTAAGAGAATGAGGTTATTTTTCTTTCAGTGAATTAAATTAAATGGGCTCTCTCAGAATACAGCCACTCAGAAAATGCTTTTGCAGATACTGTCTCCTCACTCAGTTATTTGTGGTACAACACCTACACAGAGGCACATCTCAGGAAGCTGGCTACACCTTGTAAGAGCTGGAATCTGTTCCCAGCTGTGTGTTGTTCTCCCGTGAGATACCCATCTCCTCATTACCTGAAGGGAGTGGGATGATGATATTTACCCACAGGTGAAGTGCTTTGAGATTGAGAGAAATATATTATGATTATAGGGAAACCTTGGAGGCTTACTTCCCAGCCTGAGGTTCCTGTAAAGTTCCCATCCACCTGGCACTTTGGCTTTCAATAGAATGAAAGGCAGGGAAGCATCCTTGAAGATATCTTCTCCAGATGAAAGAGAATTTTTTGGTATCTAAAGCACCACTGGCAAACTCTAGGCCATTTAGGCTTTCTCTGTTAACTGCATGTAAATTGGGGGCAGTGATGGTGCCCAAAATTGAATTCACCTCATCTGTCTTAAGCTGTTTGAAAATGAGTATCTGTCTCATGCTGGTCATCAGTGCTTTTGCTGTGATTAATGAAAGAGAAACAAGACACCCCTAAAAGATAACTTATCACCTTCCAAGATCTTTAGCAAGAATTGCCTTCCAGAAGTTCCTACATGGAACTCCTAAGAGCTGTTCTGTACCATACACCCCACTTTTACATGGCCAGGACTCAGTGAGGTGACCCCGTATCTCATGTGAGCTGCAGTTCCTGCTCTGATTGACTCTGCTCTTACTGAACCAGCAAAAGCAATGGCAGCATTTTTTAAAAACTTCCCTGCTGTGGCCCAATGTTGAATTATGGCTACATGAAAATATATTCAAATGTATTTTAAAAGCTTACTACAGCACCTAACGTCTAAAATTGCATTTCATGTCCACCCTCTGAACCATTCCAGCTGGCACCACTTTACAAAGTGTAGGCAATAGGGAATACAGTGTCAGTGTCTTCACGCACTGCTGCGTGTTATCCTCAGCAGCAGGGATCCGAGATCTTGGGATCAAAGGATGGAGGCATAGAAAACAAGCACATGTATTGCAGCAGGAGGTTACAGTAAACAGAAACCTTCTCTGTCCACACAGAGAGGTTTTTATTAAGGACTGCTAAAATTAACGTTCCTTTTAACTTGTTTTTAAATACTTCGTTCCCTTGGCATCTTCTTCAAAAGCACAGTCACAAACCCAGGAGTGCACAGGAAGAGGAAAGTGATTTAAGTGTGTAACTCTCCCTTCCCCTTGCCCATCTTCCTCTGGGTGCGTTAGGTCTAGCCATAGAAAGCTATTTTTTAAGCAGATTTAATTTGCAGAGAATGTGAAACTCAAAACTGTTTGCAAGTTTTATCAGTGTACGCATATCCCAAACGCTTGCACGAGGGTCTCATTTAAATATCTTGATAAAAAATCTTGATAAATATCTTGATAAAAAAATAACAAGACAGTAACGATGAAACCCCAAAAGAGAAGAAGGGAAGAAGCGGGTTCCAAACCGGATTCATCAATAAGGTCTGGAATCTTGAAACTCAAAGCAATCAAGAAAAACCTTACTCTTTGAAGAAAGAAAATACACATCAATTTTTCCCTCCATCATTTCTCACTCCTTTGCCTTCACTTACTTTCTTTCGGTGTCAGGTGTTGATGCAGCACTGCTGAGGCCAAGTGACTCCTGCAAGAAAAGACACAAAACGGTGAGTGTAAACAAAAGAGCAGCAGTTTATGCAGTTTGTTAAAAAACAAACAAAAATAGATGTTCAAAATCATAGTGCCTACCTCAATCTGGGATCGCAACTGTAGAGATGTGGGGCTGGCATCAGGTTTCTCCTAAAACGGAACAGATATCAAGTTAATGAAAAATTCAAACACTAGAAAAAATAAATTGGAAGGACAGAAGAGGAGGAAAAAAAAAGAGTAATAGAACCTTGGACAACCTGAGAACTTTTCAAATGGGATACAGTAACCTCTCCAGCAGGAATTATCTCAGAGAAATTCTGAAATACTCCAGTAAAAATGAATGCCATTCTTATCACTGCAGAATATCACACACTAAGGCTAGCACATAGAAATACTTCAAAATACAATATAAAGTGAAATGAGTTATTTTCAGGAAAACATTAATGTTTAACAGATGTTTATGGAAGAGGGCAAGCAGTTGTTTCAGTATTTTGTAATTCTCTGTCTTATGTTTTCATTTGCAGTGTATTGTTAAGCCACTTGATGTCTCTGTGTCTTGCACAGGGTTCCGGACAGGATAAAGCCCCTGGTAACCACGGGGCAAAAAGCTAAAGCTCAAGATCCATTTCTGTCAACCAACTACAGGAGCTTAAATTCACCCGGCTAAAGCAGATCGCGACTCATATGTGACATTCTCCAACTTTCTTGCTACTGGCAGTTGCAACACAAAATTTACAATAAACTTTACTTGCAAATATTTTGTTACAACAATAATATTCAATTGCTAACATCAAACCTAAAGGCATAATTTAATAAAGAGCATAAACTGGACAATAATTAAGGATAAAATTAGTATTTTTCACTCGGTACTTTGTCTTCTAAGTTGCACAGAGCCAACTCGGTTTACTTCTAAATACAGGTAACTGCCTTCCACAGCACAGTGTTGCCCAATGGCTGTGAGCTCGGAACAAAGTGCAGGTGTTTGGGGTACCAGTTACTGCACTAAAGATGCACCCAGAAAAACATTCACAAGTTCTTGTTTCTGAAAAGAGTAAAATCAAAAAGTGTCTTCTGAAAACCTGGTGCGAGTGGAAGTTATCAGCATATTTTTTCTTTCACTAAAAAGTACAGCTGGAAGATTCATACTTAATTTCTACTTTTTCCATTGAAACGCTGTATTCCTCTTGTTTAGTTTCATGAATTTTAAAACACCCTTGTATGCAAATACAATTAGCAACAAGAATTCTCCTTGTCCAGTATATGTTTTGTATTGCTTGATATAGTGCAGATTTAAAAAAAAATACAAACAGGAGCAAAAAATATACTAGATCAGCACAAAATTTATTAGGTAATGTGTAAGTGGTATTTCCAAAAATTGGCTTTAAAGAAGATTACATAGGAAAACTTCACTATTAAATGGGTGTTCTCTAGGCTGAAAACAGTGTAGTGGTAGCAGTGAAAGATTTCAGCAAACCCTGCTTTGAGACAGAAATTCACAGAATCCCAGAATGGTTGAGGTTGGAAGGGACCTCTAGAGACCATCTAGTCCAACCCTCCTGCTCCAGCAGGGACACCTAGAGCACGTGGCACAGGGTGGCATCCAGGCGGGTTTGGAAGATCTCCAGAGAAGGAGACTCCACAACCTCTCTGGGCAGCCTGTTCCAGGGCTCTGTCACCCTCACAGGAAAGAAGTTCTTCCTCGTATGGAGACGAAATGTCTAAAATGAAATGACCTACTTCTGGGACTGGTCACCTAGACTCTCTTTTCAGTCACTGGAGAGAGGCAGGAATCTTCCTAGAGAATTCACCCAACCGGTTTTCAGTGCTTCGAGTTAAGCAAGATGTGTCCCATTCATGGCATCCAACTTGACACTGTATGCCAACCACTGAAAAGGCACCTGTTATTAACCCTGAGTCTGGCTGAAGTCAGTGGGAAAATTCTGATTAGAATGAAGGAACAAATTATAGTTATTTGTCAGACTGAAACTACATCTTATTACTTCATCTGCATGTGAAACAACAGGGGAAGCCAGTTCAACCCCTAGAGAAGCTGCTGTGAAGCCAATACTGTAACCAGAAGAGCTATCAGAGCTGAGTAAGCAGCCACGCACTCCCCCAAGAAGGAAATAGGACGTGGATTTATTTGCGAGTACTGCGGAGGTCTTTTTCGTTCATGCATTCCTCAGCCCACATGTAAATCTCTCTTATCTCCATGAAATTGTACTTCCTATGCCCTTTGTTTACAGAAAGGCTGACAAAACATTCTCAAGATTTAATACAAAAGGACAATTAGATACAATTTTCTGAAAATGCAGGCTTTTTACACTAAACAGGAAATTAGCACCAACTGCCATGAAGCGGTAATGGATTAAGGCTCCCAGAAAATCTGCAAAATCTAGAGCAGAGAGGAGTCTATGCCGCTATCGCAGAGCCCACTGAGCCGGCAGCAGCAGCCAGGGGTGTGCAGGACGGCTCAGTACCACACACTTGTTATGGCAGAGACACAAACGCCATGGGGTCGCAGCCCTACACAAGGATTTTGCCCAGCCGTGGTCAGCAGGGTATCTGGTTTTATAGCATGAAAAGGGAACTGAGGACCTTGAGCAGGAGTCTGCACGCAAAGGGAACCACATTCATTTACAGTCAGCACTGCCAGGACCCTTCCTATAGCCAAGGAGAAACTGGACTGAGCCCAGGGAAATTCCACGGATGTCTGCAGATCCGCAAGGGGAAACCAGCTATTTGGAAACAGGTGCAGTAGCGGATCCTTTTAGTTGTCACTCCCTGCTTTCATTTTCACATAGCTGAAATACATGATTCTCCCTCCTCTTCTCCATTAGCTTTGTGAACACAGCCATCACATCTTCAAGCTTCACACAGCCAGTCAGGAGAACCCACTGATGTCCCCAACATGTATTTAGACTGCAACTTCTCAGCAATAAATATTCCACTTTTCGATGACTTATTTGTTGCCTCCAAAAGATTCTAAAACTTTCTAGTTTTTGCAAAGTATCATTTACAAGATTTGTGGCTGCCCAAGACTTTATGTAACTCTTGTGCTCAAGTGAGTTGCTTGTAAAGCTGTAGACTGAAAGTGCAGTTAAGCAGATTACCACTTTCAGCCTAAAACTATTCAGAGGAATAAGCAGCTGCACCCTGTGTAGCCAAATCCTGAAGAAAGTTGAGTGTATTTGCTTTCTTTTGTCTCAATTGCTGTGAAGCCCACTCTTGCAACAGGAACAGTTTTATGGGCTCAGGATGAGCGTGGAGGAGAGCAACAAGTACAACTCTCCTCTCCCTGCCTCTAAAGCAGTAATTGCAGTACTGCAGTGCTAAGCACCCGGTAATCTTGTATCCCTGTACATACCTATCTGTCTTCCAAAAGCATCACATTTTTGCTATTTAGACAAGAAACTAGGTGTTAGAGAAAGGCTGCTCTCTGCTGAACTTCTGGCATGGATCTATATACCACAGATGACAGAACTTTTTTTCTGCCTATTCTATTTACCTAAGTTAGAGACCTCACAGAAGAATCCACAGGTAGTGCTGACTTAAATCCAGCAGGCTCAGGACCTTTTCTTTTACCAAGGGATAATTCTGGAAACTCGAGAAAAGCTTACATGACTGGCATGCTCTCAAGCATACCATAACATCTTTTCAAAAAATATTTGCGAAGATTAGTCTTTGAAAGAAAGCACATCTCCCCACCTCTCTGAGCCTAATCTTACAAAAATAAATACAGGAGAGCCTGGGCTTACAGAGGCATCCCCTGCACCAGGAGCCTCCCCTAGCCAGCATATCCAGGACTACAGACAAACGGGCAATGGGGCAGGAGGTGTTTGCTGCCCTAGATGGGCGCGCACTCCGTGCGTCCCTCCGGCTTGTCCGACGTGTTGCAGACACTCATGCCGTTTGCACACTACGCGCTGCTGGTGAAATCCAGGCATCTGAGGAAGGGCCCAAGCGACTGCGTTTTCCAGAGAGCGCCCGACTCGCGTCGCAGGCTCTGTGAGCCATGTGAATAAAGTCAGTGTTCCCAAAAGCGTCTCACTCATTTGCATGATTTCTGGATTTAAGGGGCCCTGCCTCAAAGAGTCACTGTCCTGTGCAGCCACGACCAATGAATGCTACGCGTCTGAGGTACTGTTTAGATCTCAGCAACCAAGATCCAAAGAACTCACATAAAGAGAGATATTCATAAATTACATCCAATCCCAATAAAGAGAGAGGTCAGATAGTGGTGTAACATCAGCTTGCCCGGCTCCAAACTTCTGAGGTCCAGGGCTAGTGCAGCACTGAATGGCACACAGCGATTCTATATTCATCATCGCACAGTGATTTCTTGGCCAAAGGGAGCTGGTAAAATAAGTGACTCTAATATCAAGCAGAGTGAAGACATAGAATTTAAACTGGTAATTTCTCTGTCAGCTTGTTGATTGAAAATTATCTTAACTTGGAGATGTATTTTATTCTCCTAGCTTTAAAGCCTTGTTCTTACTCCTACTTCGTCCCTGTCTTCTCCTTCAGGCGAAGGGGTGCTGGGATAAGGACGTCACTCCCAGCTGTGGTTCTCATCCCCGAGCTGCAGGACGGGAGGGCAGCCGGGCAGTGCAGCTCCCGGCAGCCCAGGACCACCCGACCTTTCCACAACTCAGGTGAGGCCGAAAGCAGTTCCTGGGTTAAACTGACTCGTCTCCCCTGAAGAAGGGTCAGTGCAGTGCTTTTACAAAATCTCTTTGTAAAATTTGTAAACGTTAACAACCAAGATACGTGGCCTGTGCCTCCAGCCTTAAGTTGCTCGCCTCAGGGCTCAAGAAAGAAGCTTCCCTCACAGGCAGCTTTTCTGTTTGCTTAGTATGCTGTTGACAGTGTAATTTATTCAATCATTTAAACATAGTTTCTTTCAAATAATTTCAGGTTACTAATGTGCCTTTTGTTTTGTATACTATCATTTCTGCAAAAATCTTGAGAGTGGTCTTACGCCCATTCATGTATGAATGTATGAACTAAGCCTAGAAGACGCCTCAGGGAAGGAAGCACAAAACACAGATCACATGGGGAAGAAGGTAGTAACACATCTCCAGACTGCAGTGGCGGGTTTGAATTCATGAGGGACTTTTCCTTCTACGATAACATCGGTTTGGCTGTTC